CTAAACCCTAAACCTTAATCCCTAATCCCTAAACCCTAAACCCTAAACCTTAAACCGCATTGACGCTCCGAAGCCGCTTTGAAGGAAAGCTTGGAGCAGTCCCTCCTGATAGCCACGGAAGGCCTGGCTTTGGGGTTTAAGGGACTAAAGGAGGGACCCTTAAAGGGACCCTTGGGGTTCTATATGTGCTTTATGAGACTCTATAAGGGGTCCGGGGTATATAAGGGGTTATATAATTATAAGGGGCTTTATGAGACTATGTAAGGGTATATAAGGGTTCTTGGGGTTATATGGGAGGTAGGAGCCAAAGGTCTGGCAAACCCTGAGGAATCGTAAACCCCGGACCCCAAACCCTGAACCCGAAACCCGAAGCCCTAAGCCCCAAACCCTCAACCCTAAACCCAAAAGCCTGGGTCATGGAGAGGGTGGTCGGAGCAAAGGCGTTGTGGGCCATAGCATGCATTCCGCCGGACCGGTCGGCTATGTCCCTCCTGAACTCGGTCCAGCTGCAGTTGATGGTGTGGCTTCTTGGCTTTGCGAAGCGGGCTGATGAGTCATGGGTGGAGTTTAGACAACGTGCATTCCGAGGCGCTAGGGCCGCACTGCACTCGGCCGGTGTCGAGCGCTGGAGTACCACGTGGCTGCGACGATACTGTTACTGGGGGTACGCAGGACACAGAGCCCGGGGATCCTTGCACCCACACCCGCCTATCAGCACCGAACTTGAAAACTATCGAACCCGCCCTTGGTGGCTCCTCGAGCGGTCCAAGAAGCATGGTGCCACGCATGTCCAACACTATCCCCGCCTGAACAACTTGGAGAAAAGCCTTGACACGGTAGCCGGAGCCCCATGGAGGAACCTCGCATATGATAGGAACGCATGGAGGAACAAGGAGGACTCCTGGGTACGGCACATGGATCTCCCTTGGTCGGTTTTATAGGGTGTTTGGATTAGGGGTCCCTTCTAGGGGTTCCTCCTATTATTGTCCCTTCAAGTTTGGGGGTTCGGGTTTAGGGTTCAAGGTTAAGAGCTTAAGGTTCTGGGATTTTGGTTTCAATAGGATCTTAGGTGGTTGCAAGAGTTTCTGGTTGAGGGCTTGGAGATTTGTTTTTTTGAAATTATCAGGAACCTTCATAAGGTAGAAGCTAGAAAGTTGGAACATCATCATCCTCGTGCCCTTAGTTTAAAGTAAAGTGCGGGGGATCCCAGCACTATTCATCCTAAATCCATGTTCCAACTTTCTGGGACTCGAATCCCGAATCTATAATCCCTAAACCCTAAACCCTAAACCCTGAACCCTGAACCCTGAACCCTTAAAGTTAGTTGAAGGATCCCTGGAGGAAACCAGCGCTGTTAAGCCCAACACCTGGGCTGGTAAATCCCGAAGGCCTGGGTTCCTAAGCCAAGGCCCGAGGCCCTAAACCCGAACCCCAAACCCTAAACCTTAATGGTTAAGGTTGAGGGTTTAGGGTTTAGGGTTTAGGGTTTAGGTTTAGGGTTTATGGTTTAGGGTTTAGGGGCCTGAATAATTACCAATACTCTTTTTTGCGGGGTTCCGTATTGTAAATGTAGTATAGTGGGCCCCAACGCCAGATTTTAAATGATTAAGGCCACTGTTTTAAACCCCAAACCCTAAACCAAAGCCCGAGGCCATGAATGTTTAATCATAGAGTTCAAACCCTATCGCAAATGCCTCGGCACGTGTACCTGGGTTTCAGGTTTCGGGAGGTGTGTTGAACCCTAAACCCCTAACCCTAAACAACCCTAAACCCTAAACCCTAAACCCTAAACCTAAACCCTAAACCCTAAACCCTAAACCCTAAACCCTAAACCCTAAACCCTAACCCTAAACCCTAAACCGTAAAAAGCCTAGCAGGGGGTTCAGGGCTTGGGATTCCGGGTTCTGCCCAAGAAAAGCTTCAGGGCTCGTGGGATCCAGGTTTAGGGTTCAAGGTTCAGGATTGGTTTAGGGTTTCGGGTTTAGGGTTTAGGGTTTAGGGTTTAGGGTTGAGGGTTTAGGGTTTAGGGTTTAGGGTTTAGGGGTTTAGGGTTTCGGGTTTAGGGTTGAGGGTTGGGAATGGGGTTCGTAGAAGGGCCTGAGTATTTAGGAATATCATTCCTAGGGTATACAGCTCCTCGAAGCATGATTTGTTGATCGTATGGTCCTCTCTTTTACAGGTGTGTTGGGTGTCTAGCTTTCGGAAGTTGGGACTTGGGAATTCGCTTAGTGGAGTTTGGCATGTTCCGACTCCCTCACAGATGCCACAGGCCTTTGGGAATGTCCTTCAAACTCGAGTTTCGAGCCTCCATATAATTGAAGATAGTTTGGTGATATTTTCCGTCAATGGATGCTGAAGTATCCGAGTACCATGGCAAAAGGAGAGTGCCTCGCTTTGACAATGCAGGTTCGTCTTCCATGCACGCCCAGCAGCTATTGATCAGGGGTCTACATCTAGTCTATCTCTGTGTCGCCGAAACCCCAAAACTCAACCAGCCCCGACAGCTTAAGCTGCATAAACTTACAGCCACTCATATGGGTAGTTTTCTACATTAGGGTCCCTTTTGGGGTCCTTTTTTATAATGGTGCCGTACTATATTGGGGAACCAAAAAGGGACCCTAATTTAGAAAACTACCCATACGTTGACGGTCGCCGTAAGTTGCACACAACCCCGAATTTCAAGCACCGAACCTGCAGGGGCGTTGCGACGATCCATGAACTACGTAGAGATCGCACTACAGCAGTGCCTGGGCTCGCACACAGAGTTCCAAGAGAAGAGCACGTAAGCTTTGCACCACGGGTTTTGAAGGGTAAGTATGCAACTTTGCAGTTTGCCCCAATCCTCATCCTTCAAAAGCCTTACATCCAAAACCGTACGATGGGGATTCCGATGCAGTAAGCCCCAGAAGTCGCAAGGAAGAGGCTGAGATCGCATAGCACACTGTGACAAGCCGCACAAGCACGGCTGTGTTAAGGTGTCCGAAGCTGACGAACGTCCAGAGCAATCTCTAACTGACTCTAACTCTTCTGTACAACTTCCTGTGGTCCCCGGACTTTTCGCCCTCCGCCTGGTCGGTTGGATTTTTGGCGTCGCATCTCCGCTCTCGTAGGAGATGTTTTGCAGAGACAGTGCCGGCTTGAGGGTCACGCTCGCCGAATGCCGGAACGATGGATTGCGTCACGTCAAATAGTACACTCTGTAAAGCCTTACAAAACCCTTCAAAGCCCAAAGCCCTGTACAGGCTTTCCAAGCTCCAAGAAACCCCTCAATAGCCTGCTAGGGTTTAGGGTTTAGAGCCGTTTCGAACCCTAAACACTAGACGCTAAGTCATAGATCACCTGATAGACCCTATAGCCTAGAGCCTATACTCTGAACACCAGCTCAGACCTCGAACCCAGACCTCCCTATATAAGAACCCTCAAAGCCTTGCTAAGGTAGTGCAAGCAACACATCAAAACCAACGAACATGAAAAGTTCATTCATATGTCTCCTGAACTTATCACAAGAACCGAAAACTGTTAGAAGCACCCTATGGCTTCCTTCAAATGCACCAAACACTCAGATTCAACTGAAATGGTACAGTCATATGTATCTCTTTGTAAAAGACGCTGCCAGTACGCTGTTACAAAATCGATAAACAGTTTGATCGACACCAAATTTGTATGCATATATAAATATATATATATATATATATGTGTATATACATATACAGTGTTATAACATACATGTAACACAAGCCTTCAAACAAACCCTAAGGGTCCAAGTACCTAATAATCATATACTCTCCCAAACAGTAACCTATCTGATTACTGGGTCCTTTGGAGCCTTGGACCCTAAACCCTAAACCCCTAAACCCTAAAACCCTAAACCCTAAACCCCTAAATCCTAAACCCCTAAACCCCTAAACCCCTAAACCCTAAACCCTAAACCGAGTACGAGCCTTTAAACAAACCCTATGGGTCCAAGTACCTTATAATCATATACTCTCCCAAATA